AGTGCAGGAAAATGCATCTAAGAGGTGTAATTAAAAAAAAAATTCTGGGGGAGGGCTGTCCCCCCTTATCAGGGTCCACTTCCTGAACCAACCCCCTTGCAGCTTTGCTGTTCGGGTGCAGCCTGTGGCAGCAGACAGTCGTTTACTTTCTTGGTTTACCCTGCTACATTAAAAACTTGTGACAAGCCTGGTATGCTTAAGCTAATACTTTTATTAATCATGGAATAAATTGAACACAATTAAGGGCCTGTTCAAACTTGTAAGAGCCTGTTCAATTTGTCCAAGGGCCTGCTAAAATTTTGGGTGGGCCTGTTCACATTTTGGCTAATTTCTTGCCCTGTACGCATCGTGGGTAGGGTAGCGACTGCGCTACTACTGGCTCGCCTTGGTGTTAAGAAGTCAATAAAATTGGCGTAACGTGGCGTTTCATTGATAGAGCAAAGCAGCCCGAGAATAAAAGTAAATTAAATGAAAATGAAAACACGAACTTTCAGAGTTGTGCCTTGAGTTTTTGAGAAATGTGATCTATGAATTACATGTGTAGTTAAATCAATGGTGTTTTTGTGTTTTTCATTATTGTTTGACAAGCATTTTTGTTTTAAAATTTGGGCGAGTACAGATTTCGTTTGGGCGAGTTAACTTATTGACTCACTCGCCCAGTTTGGCGAGTGGTTTTTATTTTAAAGCTCTAACACTGGTGACGGCTTGCACAGCTCAGAATAAACACACAAGGCTCACCCAGGTAGTGTCTTTGGAGCTGCCAAGTCAAGTTGGACGTAATTAAGTTTGGACCTTCCACCAGTCATCTCCTTCACCTCTTCTGTGGCTGGAGAGTTATTCGTGCTGCAGGCAAACATATACATAACCATAATAACAAGTGACGTACACTTACGAATTGCTACCACTGCTTGTACTACTGCTGCTGCTGCTGCTGCTGATGCTAGTGGTGTTATTAGCTGCTGCTGCTGCTTCTGCTGCTGAATATGTTGCTACGGCTACGTGTAAATCAAATTTCCATTTAAAAACAGACATTTTGTATGCTTTTGCGAATGTGAGATTGCCGGAATACGCGACAATGACCAGGCTAATGTAGAAATTTAATTTTCCTGTGGCGCTGAGAATTTTGCTTCCGCACGTAATCAGCTCTACTTTAAAGAGCTTATGTATGCGTTGCCAGTAGAACTTAATAATATCCTCCCACATGCCAACGTATCCTCCCACGATAATACGTCTATGCCCACACAGCCATCCAACCTGTCAGTCGGCTTGCCAGGTCGCGGGGGAGCCGGTCTCCCGTGGAACAACGCATGTTGCAGCTGAAGATTCAATAGAGTGCTGAACTTGTTGTGCTCCACGTCTAGCGGCTGTAGATTGATGGCCGGTGTAACACCCACTTTGCCGTCCACTCTGGTACACAGACAGTCGTCATGATCAGATAATGCGATTAGGCAATGCCAAGCTTTCAGCACAGAAAATATTAACTACGACTGTTCGTCGCAAACTTTATAGTTCAACAGCAGTGAGTGATATATGCTCATAGGGGTGAATGGATCGTGAATGATGAATGGTGATTAATCTAAAAAGGGGTGTGATGAAGTGGATGAGAAATAAGTGGACGAGCTTCCCCTGAATCTAGTCCAGGACTACGTTATAGTAGCGAGTATAGGTTTAACATGAAGGAAAGCTGTAGTGGGGAATGGTGGTGCATAGCAAGCTTCTACCTGACGGTCCACCATCCTGAGCTGTCGACCTTGATCACGTCTATGTGCTGCCCCTGCTCGTACGAAACCTCATCCTGGTCGTGTGCCTCACACGCGCACAGCGACACACACCTCACTGCAGGATACAAGCCTGATCGTTATACCTCAGTAGAGAATCCAAGCCAAACCTTCACCTAATAACATGACGTCATACAACCTAAATCTTCTACCTTATACCACAGGCTGCAACCAACACCTTTCTCAAATACCACATGGGTACAACGAAAATCCTTACCCGATAGCATTGGTTACAGCCAGAATATTTACGAAATACAATTGCCTATAACCAAAATAACCAGCAAGCAATACCATACAATCCTTTACTATGCAATAGATCCAACAAATGCAAACATTCACCTTACAGAACATGCTGTCATCAATAAACAAGGACAGCGCTGAATTTGACGATAGCATAACGTACCGACTTCTGGTGTTTCAGCGTCATCCACTGGTGAAGCATGCTGGCTCTGTGAAGCTACAGGTTCTAGGAATGTGCCGGGCACCCAACCCTGCTTCCCAGCCGATGAAACCAACCACCAACCTGTCCCCAACAGCAACGATTCAGTCAGACACACTTGCACATCTATGACAAACGTAATTACTGCCGCAAAGCTTGCTCACCCAAGGATTATCACTTATCGTGATCACTACAAGATTTCCTACTAGTCGACTTACAATTTTCCTGTAATCGTTCTATTGTCGTAAACATGCTCATACATTAATTCTGATCATAACTATAACTATAACCATGACTATAGCTATGAAGGTTATTACCTCCGCTAAGGAGGTTATGTTTTCGCCCCTGTTAGTTTGTTCATTACCTCCGCCAAGGAGGTTATGTTTTTGCCCCTGCTAGTTGGTTTGTTTGTTGGTTTGTTTGTCTGTCAACAGGATATCTCAAAAAGCTACGGACGGATTTTGATTAAGTTTTTTGGATGGGTTGGTCTTGGGCCAAGAACCAATCAATTAGATAAAAGGTGGTGATCCGGATCCAGATCTGGATCGAGGATTTTTTTTGTGGGGAAGACTTCGGACGGAGTGTGAAACTGAATCCGACTGCCAAAAACTGAACTAAAGCTTCCAGCAAGCAAAACTACCAGAAACTCAAAATGAACCCAACACTTCCTAAAAACAAAATCAAAACTTAAAATTCCATCAAACTCTGGTGTACCAGCAAGATGGGGGAACTGTTACGCTGTGGTGGAGGTTTACTATCTCCGATTGCTCTTGTAACTGTAACTATAACTATAATTATAACTATAACTTTGACTATAAACTATAAATTATAACTATAACTTACTATAGCTATAACTATGACTGGCTATGACTATGACTACAACTATACCTATTAATACTAGCTTCTCACCAGAACAATTAGCCTCGACACAATGTACTAACGCCCCCTTGCTAAGCAGCAAGTCCGTCCCGGTGGCACAGTAATCGGCGATGGCTCGATACTGTGCAACACCATCGCTCTCTCCATCCGCGCTGCCACCACCGAGCTGCATGCTTAACCCCAGCAACGAATCATCGCTCGAGGGCAACGACGGCGCAGAGATGTTCGCTTGGTTTGCGGACACGCGCCGGCTTGCCATCCTTGCCGGCACGGCGGGGGTGGCGCAGTGAGGCGGCACAGGAGGCGGCTGCGATGCGTCGTCGCCACTCCCGTCAACACCAGAGAGCGCTGAACGCACAGCCGATGCACTGCCGAGCATAGAGGATGGTGCCATGCAGGTGGCGCCACTTGACGTACTGCAATCACGCACAGGTGTCATCTCAAACATGTCAACATAACGCAGAAACTTCGATAGGTATATAACCACAGATGCACTCATCCCATTGCATCTGTGGGAATCGGTGATGACAGTCGACGATTCTATAGGGGTGCCCACTAATACAGTATGACTGTAAACAGATCGGGTGTAGGCGTTTGTTAAGACCTAGGGCCTGTTCACAGAAACAAAATCAGTCTTAACATCAGTCTTACCGTTAATCTTTTCTCATAGACCGTCGAGAGAAATGTGGCAAAAATACAAGTTTCACATACGCAGTGCCTAGAAATAAGGACCACGAAAAAAATCTCATGTTAAGACTCAGCTTGACCAGACAACATGCCTCAGCCGTCTCACCTGCCGTCGCTGCGATCGCCATTCCCCGGGTCCGAGCTCCAACTCCTGAAGAAGCACCTCATATCATCTCTCGCCAGCACCTCCGCCGGCAGCTTCGGCAACTCCTACAAGAATTGTGTACATCAAAGTATACCTACATATCAAATTGTATATAAGTTAAATATATATGTACAAGTATGTATTGCAATGGCTGTAACATGTTTGTAACATACCTGGAAATAAAGAAATTATTTAAAAAAAAACTCCTACGAGAATTCGCAGCATGCGGCAGACGTTAACGCGAGAGCACGGCGGTCACAGCCTCTATCGTTGGCCGCCAATAAGGGCTGCACAAGGTCGTAGCCCCTAGCATGCACTTTGACCATCTCTTGCTTGTGGTAAACGCACGTCGACGAGCATAATCCAATACACGTTAGACACACATTACGAGTGTGGTTGCACGAGTCCGAGTAAGGTCATCCTAGAAAGGTGCCACGCTGGCCTGCGTTTTGTGTGATCTACCCACGTACGTTTGTGTGGCAAGACCCGGGCAAGCTTACGCAGAAAGAGTAAATATTTAGTTTGAATGTGGGCCAGGAATACAACAATGCGGGTGCGTGGTGGCGCACCGTGTAGCTGGCGCCAGAAGTTATCTGCACAAATCCTCATTAGCATTGTAAATCTTGCAATTTTACTCTCGATAGCATGGGCGCGACACTCACACGTACCTTACAGAACTGTCGAACGGCAGTAAGAAGCTGCGTGGCTATGGCTTCTTCCGAGAGCCACCGTGCCTGCTCCATGAAGCATACCTCTACAACACAACACACACACGTGCACGTGAGCGCCGACAGATGTACAGTTGTTAGTACGACACCCGAGTAGCTTCACCACTCTCCTTTGCATGTGCTTTTAGCAGCAAGCTCACTTTAGCATTGCCTGTGATCATACACCTTACTCTAGAGCGAGTGATATTCCAGCACTAATCAACCATAGTATAGATGTGAATCAAACATGAATGTGTCTGATTAAGTGTCTCAATTTGCAGTCAAATTACAACACTCTCAATGCACGGTACAACGAACGCATGTATCACTATCGTTCCCACACTACTCACAAGAGTTCCACTCGTCTGTACGTATCACAATGCTACGTGGGGAACAGTACACGTAATTCACGTCACAGCGCAGTAGGTTTGTCGTTTTCGCACACCGATAGCCACGACACGCATGCTACCCCTCCAGCCCTACTCAATGCTCGCGCAATAACCCCCCTACCCAAAACCAGCCGTGCCAATAAACCCCGAGCAACAATTCGCAGTGATTTGCCGTAATCAGTCGCGACTACTAAACGCTGCACTTTCTGCCTGGTAATCAGAACATAAACAGCGAGGCAGGAGAACAGAGAGGAAGTGTGAGAGGATGCTGACTATTCCGCTTACACTCAAGGGCCACCGGCGTGTTGACATTTGCCACAGGGTGGGGGGGGGCAGGTTACCTACCCGCAAGTGCACAGATCAATGCTTTCTCTGTGCGCTTGAACAACGAGGGATTTTACTTTTAGTCGCGCCTGCAGACCGGCGACGGTGACGTAGCAGCGGTTGTCCCGCCGAGATGCGGGATAACAGCATGAAAAATGCCGGAACATTCCTGCCCCCAGGAAAGTGGCTGCAGTTAAACCCGTCACCATCTCTGATCCCTAATGCCATGCTGTCACAGAAGCACCCGCGTTCTGAGCAGAGGTTGATAACTTTCGAAGCGATGGAGTTCATTTACTATGTGGCCTATTGCCGATTCGTCAAATCCCTTGAATTCACCGAGGTCTGAGCATGTGCTGGTTCTCATTGTTCTTCTTTTGAACCGATTGAAAAGCCTCTTCGTAGGTGAAGTGCACACGTGTTTGCACACAGAGCGTGACTGTGTATGATTGCCCAGCTCTACTGAACGTCACTGTATTGCACCTGTGAGTTTCTATTCACACATCACTGCCACCTGCCACATTGAACACTTACCTCCCACCCGCCGGGCCCCACCCCACTTTACTGCCTACTGCATCGATACCATACATTAAAGCTGCCAAATTTTCGCTGTCTACTGATCCAACACAAATCTGAGGAGAACACAATTAGAGGTATTACGGAGATAAGCAGCACATGGAGCTGGCAGCAAGGTAGGATGAATGCAGTCCCACAATGTACGTAGTTTATTGGCAACGGCAACACTTCGCCGTTAACATTGTGAGAGTAACCTACTTTTGCATCGGTCTATGTAATCAGGTTCCTACTCACCAGGTAGCGTTGGAATAATGACATCAGATTTTCCATCTAATGCTTCCCTTAATTTGGCCTAAAATGTTCAAGAAATGACAAGGCTTAAAATAAATTTGCTTTGCATGATAGCACGCGAAATTATAGTTTTCTTTAGTTGCAAATAACTTTAGTTTAGGTGATAGATATCACAATGTTAATCTGCTATAATGTGATGTAGAAGATATTTTTATATTACAAAATACTTTTGTATTCCAATTTCCATCCTTCTTTTGCACACTGGCTGAGATATTCTATAATTGCTCTCGTATATATTGAGGTACAATTTTGTCAAATATTTAAACAGACAAGTGCCGCGGAGCGACAGCGCTCATCTAACGTCTACTGCGGTGACTCTGTGGTGGAGTGGTGGGATTCTAGTAAACCCTGTTAGTCCCAAATGTGTTCACATACACGCCGAAACAGTGGAAGGCACAGGGATGGTATCAGGAACCTTCTCAAAGGAATGTTCGTTGGGATCGTTATGAAAGTTGCCACGAGATGGCGCGTACGTTTAAGTGTCTTCAGATTAAAGATGGAAGCTCCCATCATACGTAGTAGCAACAACTATTTGCAAGACAGAATAGGTAAGCACTCATCCATTTACCTACGCAAGCCTACAGGCTAAAATAGAGAGCTGCCACCTGTAACTAATTAACGCAGGCAAAAACTACACAGTACCACCACCACATGCACTGGCAGTGGCCACTGGCAGTGGCATACGCTACATGTAACACACTGACAGTACAGAATGCCATAGAAATTATACGATTTAAGGAGCATAAACCTTCTTCAACCAAATTTAGCTTTTGAAATTTCACTGTGACATTGTAGCCTCATACATCCAGGCATGTATAGATTCTACTAGCAAACCTGGCAGTAAAATTCTTTCTAACAGTAACAGTAAACAAATCCATGTTTAACCCGCCTCTTGAGGGTCAAAAGGTTATCCGACACTTACTCTTCGCATGTCAGCAGAAAGTACATTTCATGGTCCTTTCAATAAAGCCATAAAAATGCTAGGTCACTGCTGAAACAAAAAAGTTTTTCAATCGCTCCGTCAGACCATGTCCTCAGAAAATGTCTAAAATCTGCCCTGTGCCCATTGACCTTTGACCTGTGACCTCCAATTTCGGCACAGGGATGGCTTTTCCTACCATGATGCTGTACACCGACTATCACGAGCCTAGGTCGAGCCGTTTAGATTTGTGCCGCAATTCTGCATTTCCTCCCTATACCTTAAGTTAAGGAGGGAATGTTCCCCCTTTTTTTACACCTCTTGACCTTTGACCTTTGACCCCCAGCTTCGACATCCCAACTCGTTTTCGGATTACCCCCCCACGTCCCGACTTTCGAATCCGTACGTCGAGCCGTTTAGATTTGTGCCCAACTGTAGACGAACGCACGGACGGACGAACGGACGGACGGACGGACGAACGCACGGACGGACGGACGAACGCACGGACGATCATGCGATTCTACAAGCTGCATCTGACTTCGTCAGATGAGCTAAAAATTGTGATCACAAATCTTTGCCAGCAAACTAAAAGCATCTAAGCTTACATCACAGTGATAACGAAAACAGAAATGAAGAGCTAAGCTACTGTGCACTTGTAAGCTCAACTTCCCACACATATACAAGCAATCAAGCATAGCAACTGGAACCAGTGCAATTACAACATTAATCATACATGCAAGTCGAAGAAGGCTCCATAGGTACGAAACAGGAGAGTCTTTCTGGTTCCTGCCCACTGCACTCTCACTGCATAGACCTACAGAGGAAACCACAAAAAAAACTCCTGTCAAAAAACAACGACCTGCTGAAGGCTAGGGCAAATACAAGTCAAACCAGCAGCATGTGGCTTTGAGCTTGCGCTGCCTTGAAATGCGGAAGCATGTACTCGCCGTATGTACAGAACTGCATCCTGTGAATAATGTGACACTTCTGAGAGATGTTCACACAAATAGAAAACTAATATGATTCAGACACGTGTGGATGCGTGGCAGTGACATTACTCATGTAGACAAATTATGTAATGCCAGTTTAAACATATGACTAATCATTACTCTTTGTGCATGCCATAGCAATACAGGGCACTAGTTAACTAATCTATTTGTACACGAATGTGTTTCCAGCGTATGCACTGTGCTTTTTACCAGCACTGTGCTTTTTGTTGTTTTTCAACGCATAAGTAAGTGTGGAAGGTTGCAACTATATTACTAATTACATGATACCAGGAGCTAATAATGACAAATTTTGTCATTAAATAACAATTTGTTTTGTCATTAAATAACAAATTTGTCATTATTAGCTCGGACTGATGATATAGGCCTATAGTCTTCAGTCGCAAATTTTACAGGAAGAAGCTATATATAGGTCCCCCAGATTGGCGCAACATTAAGTGGGTCATCTCTCTACACATATAAGCATGCTTAATATAGCATACAGGCAGATAAGTAACATCGGGTCAATGTTACAGTTCTTTCATGAACTTAGACAAATAAGATTTTAGCTTCCGTAGCTGCAAACCCTGACCTTAGAAAGCAGTGCTTAAGAAAACATAATTAACCGAGGCTCAGACGTCAGCTCTACCACAAAGTTCTTGTAATAATCTTTGACAAGTCCACCTGTGCAAACAAGTATTCGATGAGTAGACAAAACATGGCAAGTATATGTCATGTGCTGTCAGTCACGTAACTCTGGGGCGAGATGTCAAAACCTGTGTAGATTGTACATGTCATATATTACAGATATCATATGTTACCGGTCACTTATTGCAGGAGGTTGAGATTGAAATCATGGGTCAATTCACCCGTTTGAATGCCATTAACACTCACGTAATGTTATTGTTGCATTCAGCAACTTACAATGGTTTGGAAAGATCAGATCAATTGATCGCAATTATACATTCACCAATCTCATAAACAATACCCACACAGAGGTGTTGGTATCAATTTCTACATCTATATGTGAACAGTCGAAAAAGGGAACCAAAACTTTGCGTCCTGCCTTGAACAGATATATAAGCTGAATAGCTTCTTTTTCTTCGATCTGTAAAAATAAATATTACAAATAAAGATACTAACCATTACAATACACATAGAACAATATAAATAGAGACTGTACATGACATAACACAAGGCTCGACACTAACTTTTTTTTTCAGTGGCCCGATCGGGCCACCAAAATCATTGATTTTCAATTTTTGGTGGCCCGAAAATGAAATCTGGTGGCCCGAAAAAACAACAAAGAAAAACATTATAAATCTTTATTTGCGTTATCTCAAGTAAACAAGGGTTAGGGTTAGGAACTGCCAGGCATTTAGGAAATCGAAGACCGGCCCGGCTGCTGGGCATATAGCCACAGCGAAATAATTACGTAGTGCATACATGATGAAATTGATTTATGCTGCACAGCTTATGTGACTTGAGTACCTCTACTGTACTGTACCACCCAAGTGATGATGCTGGATGTGAGTCATTGCGATGAATATTATCTCAAATTTTAGTAAATGTCAAAAGTGACAGATCGACGTAACCATATTGTTCACGAACAGCAGGGTTTGTTAAGCTAGTTTGTTTCTGTGGTGCAGGCGTCACCTACTGGATGGTTAAACCAACCTATGTAGTGATATTTTTCGTTTTACAGTAGCGCGGTCTAGACACAGGTTTGTTTAGATTTGTTAACGTGGCAATTCGCTAGACGCCACGTGTGTGTGTTAGAAGCCAGTTAGTTGTAGCAAGTTCGTGTTCAGCTTGAAACTGGCAGTATGTTGAGTGAGGTAGCGCAAAGCTGTTCTCTGTAGTTTGGGCGCACTATGGATTTGTATTTTGTTAAAGAAGTAAGTGTTTAATTTAGATACTATTATTTGAACTTAAAGGCATAATTCGACCATTGATTATGCAATTTTAACGAATGCTACAGTGAACTGCACCTTGTGTAGTTAATAAGTAACATTACCTTATAGCCAAACCGCCGTATTAGTTTGATCCAATATCACTGCTGGATTACTAAGCAAATAATCAATTGAAATCCCGCGGTCTAAGATATAATCGTGTTGACAGTCTTTCAACGGCTATAGCCGGCCGTCAAACCGGCCGTAACCGCGCGAGGCGGTGTCATACAGAATTTATAAGTGCACCGCCACTTTCGCACGTATTATGCTCGGCCTCAGTGATTTCGATCCTTGTAGTCTGAGGTGCGCATTCCGTACGTATATGGCTTTTACTATTGGCGATTCGGGAATAAATGAAGATACGAAGTTTTGAGATTACAAGCAAACATATAATATTGGCAACTAGGCAAATAATAACACTAGGCAAACAATTTACCGCGGAACAAACAATCGATGCTCAACATCCTGTAGCAACATGTTGACCTGCTCACCGAACCGAAAAAAAAACTCACGATGTTTATTTTGTGGCAATAAATTTTTAGACAAAGTTGTCGCCAGCATACCAAATTTACGGATTTCAATTAG